TTAATTCGTGGGATCCAAACATCAATCGTAGAACCGATCAAGATGCAAAATGAAGAAAACAAAAAAAAAGAAATAGATAGAGGGGCCAAAAGTAACATCAATACGAGCACGTAATATATACCCATGCGCGCCGAGCAAGGCGGATCGGGGGAGCTAAATTAAGAAAATAGGTACGAGGATCGGCCGATACTTATTGCTCATATCGGAGCGTCGCATTTGACGTAACAACGCCGGCGAAGGTTCAGGCGCCGATCAAAGACAGAGAGGGAGAAATCGGCAGCGTCAAGGTATGCAGAAGCAAGCGTTGACAGGAGGGAAAAAAAAAAAACCGGCCGTATATGAGCTCAGGGTTGATTTGGTTGCGCGCAATGACGGTATAGGTTTAAACCCGATGGGTCAGCAGCATCGTGGAATAAAACACAATTGCGTATATATACCGATCTCGCTGGTTGATTCGAAGAGGGAGAGCTAGGAAGTCGACGACTTACGTAGGTCTCGTAGTAGTTGGCGATGTGGAACCTCAGCTTCATTTTTGCGTCTTGCTGTTGTTGCTGCTGATAGGGGTGGTAGTGGTGGTGCTGTTGCGGCCGGCCGATCGCTGTTGTTCCGTTGTGATACATGGAGAAAGCTGAGGCTACGCGCGTACACGTATCGGAGGTGCAAGGGCTGGGAAATATATATGTGTGCAGGACTTGGCTGCGGGTTGGGCCGAGAGAAGAAGAACAAAACCAAAGAATCGATCCGATCGATCCGACGGCTTTTCCTCGTCTCTCGATCGAATTAGGCCCACTGGCCCGGCGCACCTATACCCATCGAATCTCTGGGAATCCAGAGCCTGCCCTACTCCATCTCTATCTCTCCGTACGTTTGTGTGCGTACATATGTGTATTTACGAGGTGAGGAAGGGGGAACAAAAAGGGTGGTGCCACTGATTGACGAAGAAAGTCGAGCGCAAGAGAAAAAAAGGTGCCGATTTTCCCCTCTTGCCATCCTCTTGTTGTGGCGTGCCTCTGTGACTTCGTCAGCTATTGAATCACACCCGATCCGAGTATTGTTGTTTTTCTCTTTTGCCTTCTCCCCGGTGTCTTGCACGGCATGGGCTTCTGCGTGGAAAAATTGGACGTCTTAGCGTCATTCTGACGCACGTTGCCGATTTTTTTTTTTTTTTTTTTTTTTTTTTTATAAAGTCATTTTTTATTGGAAATCATTTTTAAAAAAAGTATGCGCAGAGATGGGAGCAGCAAGTTTTTACCAGCGCCAATGACCCATTAAAAAGGTAAGTTTGCGCTTCAACGTGTTTTGAGCCCGAGTTCCCTCGAAAACACACTTATAATTACAAGAACAGAAAAAAAGACGGAAAGCTTTAATCTTTCCTCGATCGGAGAATCGCAACACACTCAAAAAGCTTGTATAATAACAGAAGTTGGAACGTAAAAAGTCGTTATTTCCTCACAAAACCTGAAATTACAGCACAACCGTATATTATGTACAGTGCAACGAGCAGTGCAAGCCCACATCAAAATCAACGTTTTTTTGTTCACGAGTACTCCTCGGAAATGGCACGGCTGATGACCATTCGTCGAATTTCACTGGTGCCAGCGCCAATTTCGTACAGTTTGGCATCCCTCAACAGCCGACCGGTTGGATAATCGTTGATGTACCCATTTCCGCCTGAAAGAATGTTAATTTCGCGTGAACCAAAACTCGTATTTACCTATACCCACTGTCGCGCGTCTGGCTCTGCCTCGAATTTCAAATATATATACATATATAGGCGCTTACCGAGTATTTGTATTGCTTCGAGCGCCAATTTGGTCGCGTTCTCGCCGCAGTACAGAATAACGGAGGCGCAATTTTTCCGATTGACGTGGCCCACGTCGCAAGCTCGCGCCACCGCGTACAGGTAACTCCGACTGGTGCACAATGCCGTGTGCATATCCGCCATTTTTCCCTGGAAACGAGTTTCGTCAATATAGGTACTACACAATACGCGTCTACATATATCATGTGGAAAAATATACCTGTATGAGCTGGAACTCGGCTATCTTCCGATCGAACTGCCTCCTAGTGTGGGCGTACTCGAAGGCGACGTCGCAGCAGGCCTGCATGATTCTGAAAATCACAAAAACCAGCCGTTCCGTAGATAACACATTGCATTAAAAAAAAACTCAGGAGAGATTTTCATAAACGTGTATATACAATGTCTCACCCGAGCGGTCCGGCTGCCAGGATTAGCCTCTCCAGGTCCAAGCCACTGAGGAGCACGTAAACACCCTTGTTCACCTCCCCGAGCACGTTGGCCGCTTGAACGAAGGAATTCCTCCAAGTAAAAAGAAAACAACAACAACAAATGTCTTTGTATACGTACCGGGCACCCTGCAGTCCTGGAAAACGAGCTCGCAGGTGTTGGAGCCCCTGACGCCGAGCTTGTCGAGTTTCGGGCCGGTGGAGAAACCTTCAAAGCCCCGCTCGACGATAAACGCGGTGATGCCGTGCTGCTTCTTCTGGGCGCCGGGATCAGTCCTCGCGTAAACGACGAACACGTCGGCGTCGGGTCCATTTGTTATCCAAAACTTGTTGCCATTGAGGATGTAGTGGTCGCCTTGTTTCTCGGCCCGCAGCTTCATGGACACCACGTCGGAGCCGGCGCCGGGCTCCGACATGGCCAGAGCGCCCACGTGCTCCCCGCTGCACAGCTGATGCGGGTTACGACGAGAGAGAGAGAGAGGTCACTTTGTTCGAGCAATCGCGTGTGGCGTAAATATATATATTATATATAAGTATACGAACCTTGGGGAGGTACTTGTGCTTCTGCTCTTCGCTTCCGTTGCGGTGGATCTGGTTGACGCAGAGGTTCGAGTGGGCGCCGTAGCTTATGCCCACGGCGGCGCTGGCTCGGCTCAGCTCCTCTTGGATGAGTACGTGGTCGAGGTAGCCGCCGTCGCTGCCGCCGTACTCCGCTTTGGCTGTTATGCCCAGGAGCCCGAGTTTGCCGAGTTCGCGCCAAAACGCCTGTCCACCCGTTCTTCACATGTTTACATTTTTTTCGAACAAAGGGAGCAAATGCGTGCGTATGTGTATAAGTACATGCAAGTACTCACTCTCATTTCATCAAAGTTGTTCTTCTTGTCGATCTCGGCGGCCTTGGGGGCGAGCTCTTTCTGCGCGAAGTTGAATACCAAATTTCTCAGCTGAAAGTTCAACCGATAAACAAAATCACGCCCAGAAATTCAGCCACGGGATTCATTAAAAATCGTTATTTTTGTCAAGTGTGTTATATATACATACATAAACCGGTAAGCAATATAACAATCAATTTATCCATATCAGTGAATAAAATTTGTTAGTTCATTCAACGGGTCATTAAGACATGTCACTGGGGATTTACCACTGAGAAGCATCATCAAAACTCATTAAGATGTATTTCACTTTTGCAATGAATATCTTGATCAATTTTTTTCTTTATCAACCATTTCCTTTTTAACGAAACGATGATATGTCTGTCCAAGAAATGTGTTGAAGAAAAGAGAAAGAAAAAAAAACTAAAAATAGGGATAGCCACTGTACGCTTCTCAGCGTGGCGTGTTGGTGCCCACCTGCCTTGCCAAATAGGCTCGCATTGTAGAATTCTTTCTAATACTTAGTCTACTCGCATATCCCATTTGAAGTTTGTGAGGCTTGAACCAGAAAAAAAAAAAAAAAAAAAAAAAAGAACTATCGCAACACTGATCAGAATTGTTGCGTTGTTAGCGTATAAAATAGTCGAATGCAAACACATTGCCCGGCATGCGGATCACGCTAAATTTCAAGGGCAGACCGGGGGATGGTGTAGGGGTGTGTAATATGAAGGTAAGTCGCGTTACGCTTCGTTATATACCGGCTGTACTATCTGGCTGACCTCTTTTTGTTGCTCGGACAGGCCGAAGACGTTCTCGTCGATCGGGTAGTACTGGGACAGAGGCCTCCGGGAGGCTCGGAAAATCGGTAGCCGTTGTCGATCGTTGCTCGACACCAAGAGACGGCCAACGCTTCCTCGGACCACGAAAAACCGGTTGATCATGTTTTCCACGGAATTATCCCGGTTTTCACTAAACTGCGGTGTATGTACCTCCTCCCTACGATGATTTTTCTTGTTTTTTTTTTTTTTTTTTTTTTTTTTTTTTTTATAA